GGGCCCATGTATGTTAGCCAAACAGTATTTGCATAAAAAGTGATCATGAGTTTTCATCGCAGTCCATGTGCAAATCAGCGTAGAGGGGTACACACATTCACATGGCTATCTCTCTATACTCAGGTGGCAGGAAGGGTTGACTAGCTCTTGGGATCTTTTCTCCAAGATGCCCTGTCTTTTTTTTTTTTTTTGTAGAGATAGAGTCTCACTTTATTGCCCTCAGTAGAGTGCCATGGCATCACATAGCTCACAGCAACCTCCAACTCCTGGGCTTAGGTGATTCTCTTGCCTCAGCCTCCCGAGAAGCTGGGACTACAGGCGCCCACCACAACATCCAGCTATTTTTTTGTTGCAGTTTGGCTGAGGCTGGGTTTGAACCCACCACCCTTGGTATATGGGGCCAGCACCCTACCCACTGAGCCACAGGTGCCGTCCAAGATGCCCTGTCTTAAGGAGTCAGGCTGAGAGGCTCACTACCTCTTCCTATGTTCCTTTCTTACCTTGAGAAATAAGACCTCTCACCTGTGACCTATGCAAGATCCCCTGGGTTCCTTCCCACTGGTGAAGTCCACAAAGTGAGGCTCAGTGTCACCCACTTAGACAAGCACCTATTTTCCCTCAAAACTGATTCTCAAAGCTCTGGGACACACAAGAAAATACATGCCAATGGCCCAGGCCTTTCCAGATGGGTTCTTACAAAGGGACCTGTCCTTGAAGCTCCAGCCCCCCAAAACTAAAAACTAAAAAAAAAAAAAAAAAAAAAGCAGCTCCAGCCCCCAAAGCCAGTTTGGATCCAGCCATATTCTGCCCATGGGAACCATGACAGGACACAGATAGTGATGAGAGGGTGAAGAGACCAGTGTGCACCACCATTCACTGTGTTCCAGAGCCTGCCTGAAGTGTCCCTGTTGGCATGCAGTGGTCTCTTCCTGTGATAAACCCAATGGTTCTCTCCTGGATCCTCTTGGCTTTGCCACTTTAGCTGGTCTAGAAAGACACCTTTCCCACCTAGTCAAAGTCTAGGCTGTCTCTTTCCCAAAGCTTTCCACCCCTCCCATTTGTCCACTTCTGACAACCAAGCAAAGGCCCGCATAACCCCAGAGCAGCACACAGGCTGAAGTGCAAGGCCTTGAGACACAAGTGACCACCATGGATAGTGACCTGGCTATAGACCAATTGCTGATCATTTGGGACATGGACACAAAAGATAATGAGAGCAGAAACACACTGTATGTGAAGTTGGTTGGGCCCATGCCCGAAGGTTTGCTTTGGTCCCTTTAACTGACTTTGGGTGTAGGCCCCATGAGGTGTCACGTGGCCTGACTCCTTCACTAAGATGCCAGATGTCTCAGCATGGGCCACCAGAGCCATCAATTGCTGCAAAACCCCAGGGTTGGAAGCGAGCCTTCCACTAGGGTATCCCATGGACAAAGAGACATTTTCTCTCTCTATCCCACCCTTTGCTCCTAAGGGAATGGACAGTGGGCAAACTGCCCACAGCGCTGACATGGAACTCCCTCCCTCAGCCTTTTCCTACTCTTGTTCAGACATGGCCGCCGCCAGGCCCCACAGTCTGGGCTATAGGACCCACCAGGTATACTGGTTGTCCACCTCGGCCTGCCACCTGCCTCTGGTGGCCCCACGGCACGATCTGCCACAGGATGCGCTTCTCCTAGCCACCCAGAGACCTCTGATCCATCCATGGCTTTGTTCCCTGGTCCCGCGCCCTCTTCCCCACTTCACTCCCAGGTCACTCTTCCCCAGGAAGTCCCAGGCAGGGCTCTGTGGGACGGCCAAACAAGTTCCTCTGGATGGCAGTATTGCTCCACAAATGCCCACCTGCCCTGCCTCTCAAGGCCATTCCCTCCGCCCTTTGCTGAGGAAAAAACATCAGCTAAAGTCCAACAAGACAGATCATGCTCTTGGATACTTAGGGGGAGCTTGGCCACTTTGGGGGAGTGCAATCTCACCTACAGGGCTTGTGTTGTGTGGCCAGGAACCTGGTCCCTTCACTTGCCTTCCTTTTTTTTTTTTTTTTAACATTCAGTGATCTATTTTAATGCAATTTTAATCCTTATTTCAACCTAAATGCAATAATAATTTGATAAGGTATATACATACAAAATCAATATATATCCTGAATTACAAAAGAATTTCCATGGGACTGTAACTCAAATCCATCCCTCTAAATCCTAATTCTCTATTGGTAAAACTTTTTTTTGCAGTTTCTGGCCGGGGCTGGGTTTGAACCCACCACCTCTGCCATATGGGGCTGGTGCCCTACCCTTTTGAGCCACAGGTGCTACCCCTCTATTAGTAAAATTTTACCCAATATTTTTTTTTCACATAGCCCTTTTATGAGCCAATTAAACAGATTTTTGTTTCATTTTGATTTATGCTGAATGTAATATAAAAATATAACAAGGTAAAAATAAACATTGTATAAGAAAATTTAAAAAGAAAAAGCAGCTTTCACACACAGTTGTCATCAAGTATATGTTTCCACAGTGAATAAGTACTTATAAATATGCAAATAAAACTTTATCCTAAATGCTTATCTTACCATCAATGCCATTCTTGCTATTGAAAAGTTTTTTTAGAAGCTTTCCCCAAAACTTAACTAATAGTATATCATAATCCCCAAAAAGATTTTAATCAAAAAAACTTTCCAACATGGAAGATTCACATGAAACTTTGTTTCTCTAAGGAAATAAAATCATTCTTATTATCGGAAGAAAGAATATTAAAAGAAATCAGCTTTTAAAACAAACATCTATACCAAAAAAAAAAAACGGTCTTTTCCTATATCATCCCTTTAAATGAAACATAACAAATGTTTACTACAGTAATCTCTCAGACTACTTTCACATAAAAACTTCAGAATACATAAAGCACATATTTCAGTTTTCAAAGATGCCATTTAGATTTCACATATTTAACAGCTACAGCATGGCTCACAATGGCACAGATATGCCTAACACATGAACACCATTAATATTTCATCCCTCGTTAACAGTCAGAAAGAACTACATGGTTTGAAAGATGCTTTAACTTATGTGTGGTCATTAAAACTTAATAAGTAATTCAAGTATGATCATATCAAGGCAGGCAATTAATCCAATATCACTATAAAAATCAAAGCCATAAGAATAAAAGCAGAAAACTTGGTTTCTCTACCTTTCATTTACATAGGTAGATATCAGGAACTTACTGTAGAAAATATAACAATTCTTACATATGGTTTCCCTAGAACATAATGGAGTTTCAGAAACTAGAAAAGATGTCAAGATCCGTAGTTGGCTTCATCAAATGCTTTTCTTGCCCATTTCAATTCTTCATTCATAGTAAACAAGTCTTTAACCCTAGCAAACTTCCCGGGGGTCCTTTTGAATCAAGAAGATGATATTTTCAACTTGTACTCGATCTTGTCTGCCAAAAGACATGGCCTCGTGAGTCATTTCAGTAATGAACTCTACCACAGTACATATTCTTCAAGAGGAGATACTGACTTAGTATAAGGATTCTTTTCATCTCCAAAGCCATGCATCAAACATCTCAATTCTTCAGGAAAAAATCTCCATCTTGGGCGGTGCCTGTGGCTCAAAAGGGTAGGGTGCCAGCCCCATACGCCGGACGTGGCGGGTTCAAACCCAGCCCCGGCCAAAAACTGAAAAAAACAAAACAAAACAAAACTCTGTCTTTTACCCTGTCTACCTTCTGTACCTCCTCCAATTTCTTCATTTTCTTCCTCAAAAGCAGGATCTTCCTCCTCATCTACCACTCCATCAGCCCACCAGCCTACGGCACCCTGCAGGCTCCCACACAGCAGGTTTTACTACTTTCACAGCCTCACTTCCGGTGACTTCCACATTAAAGTAAGTTTAGATTTTATTTTATTTTTAAACTAAAATATTTAAGAGTTTTATTTTTACATTCACAATACAAATGAAAACTGCCCCTTTTTTGGGTTTACTTCTTCCCTTCAAAACTATTCTCTGATAGGAAGGAGGAACAAGTCTTCCTTACTATGCTATTAAGAAAACATGCAGAGTCACACCACCACCATCTCCTGGTGAAATAGAACAAGTAATATGAAACTGACATAAAGAAAACTTCTCTCTACCCTTATCTGTCTGGTCAAGTCATTCTAGGATGGTGGGCACCAATAAGGGACTAGCAGGAGGTCTCATCATTGGGGGCCCTGGCAGCATTGGCATGTGACCTCCCATGGGTAGCCTCATTCCAGGAGCAGGTCCCACTGGCATCATCCCAGGAGGAGGAGAACCCATCATTGGCATCATGGGAGGGCCCCACATATGGGGTGCTGGCATCATACCAAGATGAGGAGGACACAAAAGATTGGGGAGAAGTGGAATCATCGCCCCTGCAGGAGGAGGAGCAGAGAATGGAGTGGGAGGTATTTTTCCTTGTTGAAATGTAGCTGTTGTTTTATCAATTAGGCTCTGGGCCTGCTCTTCCATCCATTTCTGATAGTAGTCCCTCACATTCTCTTTGTGCTTCCTCCCACTGCAGTGTGTTTTTCTCACAGATGGAGTCATGGGTGAAATATGTATTGCAGTAGTCACAATAAAACTTGGGCATATTCCCTCCTGGCCATTGGTGATTCTTTTCTTTTTCTTTTTTTGAGACAGAGCCTCAAGTTGTCACCCTGGGTAGAGTGCCATGGCATCAC